TTTTTTTAAAAAAATCCGTATTAAGTAGTGAAGGGAGATTATTTAAAATTTGTTTATAATATATATGTGTGTGTCTAGAGCAATATTTTGGATCAGATTAGCTTTTCTACAAAGGGAAAGACAAAAATGAAAAAAATAATAATTTTGAAAGTTTAAAAAAAAATAGAAATTTTTTTGTAGAACCGAGAATTTATTCGGATTAACATTAAAATCCGATTTTTGAAAAAAAACATACAAAAGTGGCCGCTAATTTTAATGTTTATACTGGGTAACCTTCAATCTTTATCCGCAAAAAAATGCTAGGGGTACCCCTTTGGTGTACCCCATATGTTCCTCACCCTCTCCTTGTCCACTAAAAGAGGCAAAAAAATTTAAAAAAAAATATGTAAATAAAAATCAAATAAAAATGTGTGGTGGAGAAGGGGGTGGTGTACATTTGGAGTACACCTTTTGGTGTACCCCTAGCATTGCTCTTATCCGCACTCTAACATTATTGTTTTCAAACAAACACTGATCAAGTAACCCTACCTAGATCGTTATTTTGTCTTTACTCAACACATATCTCTCATGGAGTGGGGTGATTTTATGGTGGACTAAAGTCTATATGACCTTCTTATATACTCGTACTCCCTTCGTCCCATAAAGTCAGTTCCGTTTTGAAAATTTGCGTCTTTAAAAGTCTGTTGCATTTCTATAAAAATCACTTTTATCTCTTACTTTTCATACCATACCTATCACATCATACCTTTTTTCTAATAATCTACCATCACATTCTACTTTTACCCATCACATCAAGGGTATTTTTGGAAAGTCAACACAAAATTATCCGTCCTTATTTTATCACTTTAGTCACACTGTTCCAATCTTTATTGACGGAGGGAATATTTTTTAATTTAAAAAAATGTTTATTTGACATTTAAAAAAATACTCGTTTAAATATATAAAAGTATGTATGAATTTTAGATGCATGTAATAATTTATTTGTACAAGCAATTCATTATAAAAACAAATGTAGCCGTGTAGGACAAAGCTAACAAACAAGTCAATGGAGTATGATTGAGTGTACTCTTTTTTTTCTTAAAATTAATTTCTCATTTGGCCATTTTGACCATTAGTATAACTATTTATATATAAAATTAAATAATTTCAAAACCATGTTTCAAAATAAATTTATTGATATTAAATTTATATGAAAATTCAATGTATTTTTTTCATAATATGCAGTCGAAGTTCAAAAATATTGAACACTAAAATCAAACTAAAAAGTTGATTTTAAGATGGATGGAGTAATCATTTATTTCATGTTCAAGTCCATTTGGGCAAGGGTTAGTGGCTTAGGCGAAGGGGCGTGGGACGGGAAGGGGCGACAAGACTGCCCCAAATCGCCGCGGTAAGTAGGTAAATATCGCCCCATTAGGACTGGAACGAGAAGGACATGTTCGTCATCTCGTTTTTTCACAGCGAGTTGGTCATGTCAATCTCAAATTTGATTGAATTTGATCCCTTTTAAGGCGAGTTATTTCAATTTCTGTTAGTAAAACTAGACTCGTACCCGTGCGTTGCACGGCCTAATTATGAACTATATAATTAAGAAAAGCATTGATATTGATGAAAGAAAATGATAAAATTAAATAAAAATAAAAATATACAATCAAATATTTAAAAAATTTGAATACTATACATGTTCATCGCAAAAGATCATTTCCATTGAATCTTATCCTCTTGTCCAAGTCGGAACAAAGTAAACACAAATGGCTCGTAACATAAGCATCTAAGTTGCTCGACTTATCTAAATATCGGCAAGTTTATTCCACACTCTTTGAATATTTTGAGACATTTTTCGAAAGTGCATTCCACATCCTTCCCATTGATTTATTTTTATTTGACATAAAGTTTGCATCGAGTCACGCACCAACTCTACTATGCACGCGATTCCATAGTAATACATTATCCATTTGTTTATTTTGATTTGACATAAAGTTTGCATCGAACCACACACCAATATTGTTACGCACGCGGTTCCATATCAATATAGTACTCATTTATTTGATTTGATTTGACATAAAGTTTGCATCGAGCCATGCATTAACATTACTACACACGCGATTCCATATCCATACACTACCCATTTATTTATTTTGATTTGACATAAAGTCTGCATCGAGTCACACACCAACTTTACAACGCACACGATTCCATATCAATCCACTAACCATGAATTAGGCCCAATTCAACATGCTCAAATCCAAATGGATAATTCATTAATTTAGGTGAGAACACTATTCAAAAAATCGTCTTAGCTTTGTATATAAGTAGATTAGATTAACTTTCAACTTACCAATTCTTTCCAGCAACGAATTAAAAATATGTTTATATATGATTAATATAAGATGTTATTATATATCAAAATCTATAACATATATCACATCAAACATGAACAATTATAAATTTCTTTAATCTAAACATAAAACTTTTTACATATTGATTTGGATGATCATTTAATTGAATGATCTTTTAACTCATAAATTCTTCTAATNAAAAAATCGTCTTAGCTTTGTATATAAGTAGATTAGATTAACTTTCAACTTACCAATTCTTTCCAGCAACGAATTAAAAATATGTTTATATATGATTAATATAAGATGTTATTATATATCAAAATCTATAACATATATCACATCAAACATGAACAATTATAAATTTCTTTAATCTAAACATAAAACTTTTTACATATTGATTTGGATGATCATTTAATTGAATGATCTTTTAACTCATAAATTCTTCTAATTTTTTCTAATTTTTTCTCATTTTTTTCAACTCCTTGTTTCTTTCAAGATCTAGCTGGAATTTCATTTCAAAAGAATAGAGTATATTGTTGTTTTGGTAAGTAAAAATCTAACAAACACACTTTGTTCAAAAAGTAAGTTCATGCAACTATTCTAAATATATTAGCACTCTTGTTTTTCAAATTGGTATTTTAAAAAATTTTCTCAATTTCAAACTACTTAAGTAAACTAAAAATTATAAGATGGGAAATAAATTGTATTGGAGCACAGGTTGTATTGGAGCCTAGTAATTGTATTGGATAAGACTCCGTAGAAAAAGGGTGGGGCGGACTTTAAACTCGGAGTCAACTCCGCTTTAGAGCACAAGTTGAAGTCCGGCACTGCAACTTTCCTCTTCATCAACCAAACCACACAACTGAAATACGGATCGGATGCGCCCTAGAGAAATAATCAACCGAATCACCGGCGCACGGTGGCGCAGATAATATGATTCTCTTCAACTCTCTGTTGTTTCTCCACGTAGAATTTTTTTTTCCAATTTGATATTTGATTCTCAATTTCTCATTTCATTGGAAATCTCAACTCAATTCCAGCCTTGTGATTTTGTTTTGAAAATCGTCTGAGAAGAAATAGATTGAGGAAACCATTGTTGGAGGGGAAGTTTCTCAGATTCCGGCGATCGCAATGCCCGTTGCCGACAGCCATAAGTTCGACGGGAAGCTATGGAAGATCTTCCATTTCTGACAGCCTAGAGCTACATCTTCTGCTCACAGTATCCACTCCGGCAGCCAGAGCGGAAGCGTGCGGATCCTCCAACTCCCATCCTGCCGCATCCGTCTCGTCCGTTGCCAGATCCTTGATTCCGCCTCGGCGACGGCTCCGCCTCGATCCAAATAACCTTTGGCGTGGTAATTGAAGCTGGTTTGGCGGAGTATTCGATTCACCCCATATTTTTATTAGGAAAAGAAGCTTGCTTTGTAAGTTTAGCGTGCGATGGAGAAAGATAAAGATGTGGTACTGTAGCGCATTAAAAGAAGAGAGATCTACTTTTTGTGGCGCGTGGCTCAATAAGCAATTTGGACTTTTTATACACTTTCTGGCCGCTACTACACAAATGGGCACAATAGGTGTCATTTTCCAGTCTCTCCATTCCACAGGCCCATTTGGCAGTCATCCAGCCCAATATTTTGGGCGGGAACACTGTTCAAAAAACTCACTTAGCATTGTATATAGTAGGATTGTTGAGAAATCCTTCTAAATAAGAACAAAACATTGAAAAAATGTCAAAATAGGAATTCATATTTTTAGCTTCAAAATAAAAATTTCACTGTGATAATGTGACAATGTATAGAACATTCCACAATACCTTATTCGTATTATATAGGGAAAATGACTAAAATATAATTAAAATATTGAAAATATACCAAAATAGAAGTTTTATGTTTTTATTCATGAAACATGTGTTAAAATACACTTACAATGTGAATCATGACCATATACGTTAACAAAAAGTATTGTGAAATGTCGTTAAACAGTGTCACATTACCACAATGCTAACTCTTAATTTGGAAATAAAAACATAGATCTTCTATTTAGATATTTTCTTCATGTTTTACTGCTATGTAAGATGATTTTTTTATTATATTTTAGCAAAATTAGCATTATATATGTATTTTAACTTCTATTTGGTGTTGATGCGGGAGGGATTCCCTCATCCGAGCTAGACACCATCTTTTTGGTGGGTGGCAACGATGGTGGCGGCAGGGGCGACGGCGGCAAGGGATCGATGGCAGAGGCGGCGGCGGCAAGGGATCGACGGCAGAGGCGGCGGCGGCAATGGATCGACGACAGAGGCGGCGGCAGCAAGGGATCGACGGCAGAGGCGGCGGCGGCGGAAAGGATCGGCGGCAGAGGCGGCAAGGGATCGACGGCAAGGGAACGATGGTGGCGGCGATGAAAGAAAGGAGAGAAAAAGAGAGACATGCTTTGCTAGGGTTGGGGAGGATGAAGGAAAAAAAGAAAAAAGAAAAAAGGAAAAAAAGAAAAAATCTATCAAAATCCTATAAAATCCTGGTAATAAAATACATTAAAATCTATCTAACTCTGCGTAGACTTAAAATTATCCATTGAATTTACAGAATCCATAGATTCTAAATAATATATCAAAATCTTTTAAAATTTAGATTGAATACACCCCCTTAATATTTCCAATACCAGAAACTAATCAACTTTTATCAAATTTGATTCGATAATCATGTAAGTGTACAGTTGTACTACCTCACTCAAATATGAAATTAAAGGGAGAGTTGAAATATCTACTCCCACTTCTTTCCTGCCACCAATGGTTATGAAATTGACCCCATGAAAAAAAAAACTTGTTTTTTTCTCTCAAAGAAAATATAAGTTTTTAAAAAACATATTTTTTTCTCTCAAAGAAAATATACAGTATGTTTTTAAAAAACATGTTTTTTCTCTCAAAGAAAATACAAGTTTTTTTTCAAAAAGAGAAGACCCATTGTTTAAATATCATCAGTCATCACCACATTTCTTCTGCTTTCTCCATTATGGGAAAACTCAACTGTACACAAATCTTGCCCAGAGCTCTCAAAGTCAGCAGAGCATTGTTGCTATTATTCATATAATGCCTCTTCCTCCCATACATCCACAAGTAAATCAACTATTTCCTGTACAAAAAAATGTGATTTTATATTGACTCGATCGACGATCGTACTTATATTATGTAGGGACTGTTTGGGGATTTCACAACCATGCATGCGTAAATCTAGCTAGGAGATAGTGCAAAGGGACTTACCGCGAGAGGAATCGGGCAAGGGAAAGGCTTGTTAGTTACAAGCAAGGTGTCATAGGTAGCATGCCAGCTGAAAATGTCATACAGAAAAGAAAGAATTTGAATAGGAAAAATGACATCTAGAAAAAAAAAAGAAGAAGAAAAGATTCATCTTTTTTTCCCAAGATTTTTTCTTTTACACTTTTGGAGTATGACTACAGATTTCTTACCACTTTGGGTCTTTCAAGGGCACTTATTTATCTAAATGCAACAAAAAAGTAATCATCTTTGTGATACATGCAAAGAACCTTTGTTTTTAGATTTGAAATACAAAGGTTCCTCAAAGACAATGAATTCAAGAAGCTTGGGTGAATATTTCAAGCTGGTTTTTGGAAGCAGCATATATAGTGGGAATGACCAAAAGTGGTAAGAAATATATAATGAAAAATACTCGTATGCAACAAAAATGAATTTGGGTACCAAAGAGGAATTTTTTTAAGAAGGCATTTTCTTTCCACTGTTTGGTTCATGGAAATTTGAAAGGAAAGGAAAAGAAAATGATTTCTCTCCTTTGGATCACCAAAAATGGAAAGAATCCAGTTTTCCTTCTTCTTAGCCTATATTTTGTCTTCTCATACTCTTTTCCTTCCACTTTTCTTTTCCTATTGCTTTCTAACCAAACATGAAAAAATACTTTCCATCCCATTTTATTTTCTTTTTCCTCTCAAATTCCTTGAATCAAATACAGTGTTAAGGTTTAAGTGAGTTGGCATGAAGTGGTTCTCACGTTATTACTGGCTCCCGGACTTTCCTTTGCACGTCTGGTTTTTTACTTGCAAGCCACTGAAGCCTTGTCTGGTTCCAAAGAAGATAACCTGAAATTCGTTCATTCAACACTTAAAATAAATACGGAGTAAATACAAAAAAAATCGTCAAAAGCAAATGCGGTGTCCAAGAATCCTCTGCCCTGGTCGACATGAAACATATTCCCTCCCTTCACAGTTGAATGATCAGTATAGCTTTTTTGATACGCCAAAAGTTGAATGAATACGGGCATATATCATGTCCACATTCATTTAACTTTTGATGCATTGCAAAAGTAGTAATGGTCACTTAAATGTGAATGAAAGGAGTAGACGTACAAGACTCCATCCACTCTTGCTTGAATGTAGAAAACATTAAGGGTATATTTTGACGGGGGTGGAAGGAAAACATGGAGGACAACTAGAAGGGCATGAAACGCGGAGGAAAACAAAAGATATGCTAAAATTCAACAAATTTATCTTAGGTATTTGTTGACATTCATTTCATTTATTTATGTCTATTGTATAATGACTAATAAGTGTAAAACAAAATTAAAAAGATATGTCATTATCTTTTGCTTTTTCAAGGGTAAATTCTAACATTAAAAAATACGGAGTAACATTGCTTAGTATGTTATCCCCTTTCATAAGCATAAAGATAATAATATAACCTACCATTAGTGTCCTTTTGGAACCCAGATAATTCTACGGTTAGAAATACATGAGAAATTAGTTAGAAAAAATGTATGTAATTTGAAAATTGGTTAAAACACAATTAATCAATTATAGATAAATGTTCAAACACATTGTGTTTATATTTTTAGTAAATAAAGACTACAACAACATTGCCTCGTTGCGTCAAAAGTTACAATGACTAACTGGTTCTTCACTATAAAAGAAGCGCAAAAAGTTTAAATTGGCATTTTGCATTATTCCATCATACCCCAAAGCCAAAAAATAATGAATCTTTGGCCCCATCGGAGATGATGGAACTATATGTAAAATTCTTGACCAAATTAGATTAACCATGGATTTTTTCAAGTTAAAACCAAACACTAAGAAGTTGATTTCCTTGGCATTTTCCCCTTCCGCTACTATCTTCAATGTTCCAAAGATAGCCTCAGGGTATTTTTGGAACTCAGATAATGCTAGAGAAAAGAGAATACTATGTAAATGTTTAAAAAGCTATTATTTTAGTATATTTGGTTTTATCATTGAAAATACTAGAAAGGAAAAATAAAAAATGATTAGTTACTTCAACATATACTATTAGAAATTTGGTCTTTACATAATAGAAATAAATAAATAAAATGTATTGAAAAATATTTAAAATACATTTTAAAAGGTGGAACTTACCATGGTTTACAAATTCAGGATGGCTGCTAGTGCTGCAATTCTGGCCATTGGTCATCTGATTGGACGGAACTGAACTACTAATAGATGATTGACTTCTTTGAGATTGAACAGTGCTGTTTTCCATCTCGAACGTGCTGCTGCTACATAAATCTTCGGATAAACTGTTATGCTTCTTCACCAGTTTTCCTCGAATTCGCAAGCCTTTCGATGGCTCGTCCACCGCTGTTATTGGCTGAGATTTCACGCAGCAACCAAAGCAACCTCTGCTCTGTTTCAATCAAGTTTATTTGCATATACAATGCGACATAAAGCATCTTTTGACAGTAATAGACAAAGGGCTTTTCTAAAAAAGACATTATTATTACTATTATAAATTATTAAAAAGAGAAAGAAAAAAACTAAATTTTTCAGAGAAAAAGTCAAGTTTCATGAAAGGATTTTTTATTTTTCCTGGAAAAAGGTTTCTATTTCTTGGAGTAGAGGAAAGGGTTAGCATACATGTTCTCCTCCAAAACCTACTCTTGAGTTGAATACATCAAATGTTGGGAATTTATCCTCCAGTGCCTGTGGTTCGGTTTGGAGTACAACGACCAAGAAACAAACAAACCCACTAGAATTCCACAAAAGTAGATTGCGTGTACGCAAACCTTTCCCCTTATTAGGGGTAGAGAGGCTGGTTTGGTTTGGAGTACTGAGTTTTATTTTCTTAAGATTGTAAGCTAACCATAAGATATATTATGCCAACTTTTACCCAAAATTATTCAAATTCTGTTAAAAGACAATAAGACATCCCTTCATATGAATACATAACAACATAAATTCAAACATCAAATGTTGGGAGTTTATCTGCGTGGTTCTGATTTGAAATTCCTCTATTTCTTCCTTATATACTCATCCAGGACTTTAATTCTTTCAAACATACAATATCATCAAGATTTGTCGACAATATATGCTTCCACAAACTAAGAACTAATTCATAAAACTTCTGGAAAATCAGCACCCTCTTGTTCTAACAGCTGGATCCAAAGACCATCAAATATCCAAATTCCAAACAAATACCCGTTTGATGGCATAGTTTTTTCTTCTTTTCGGCCAGAGTTTCTACGGAGTATGGAGTATATATTAAACTCTAGACTGAAACAGTTCTTTAATTATCAAGATTATAACATGTCATACTCTGCATTTTTTAAGGAAAAATTAATGCAAACACTCCTAGAAATTTGAGAATATACAAAAATACTCCAAGATTGCATAATTATCACGAAAGCTCATGTAATTAGATATTTTTACAATAATACCTTAATACGCTATGATATCGCATTGATCACCGATACGCCTTAAAACCACAAATTTCTTGGGTATTGCAATGAATTCTTCCTATTTTTTAATCCAATCCCATGAAGAAAACATACTTAAAGTACCAAACACAATTTAAGCAACTTTAACAACTTCACTTGTACAAGTTACCTCTTGTAAGTTATATCTCAACCTAACTGATCTAAAATTTGGGCAAATTACTACCATTCTGTACCTTGATTGGTAGATGTCAATTCTTTTCAATTGATGGAAAAGTGGTGAAACAAAGTGAAAGTTGGATAATTTCGTTGTAACTTGTATTTAACACGTGCAAATTTATGCGCTGATCTGAACTGAAAAAACTGAATTAAACAAAAATGAAGTTGTAAAGAACTTGCCCTAAATGGCTAAACCCCTAAATAAATCAAAGAATTTACTCTAACAAAACTAATCGACATAAAAAAGATGACAACCTTCCCCAATTTCCTTCACTGCCTTTCCTATTTTTGCCCTTGGCATCAAGGCAGAACTTAAACAGGAAAAAACCAGCAAAAAATTTACCAAATAAAAGGGAAAACATTAAAATCTTGAAGTGGAATCTGAAGGCCTACCCCATGCAAGCAAGAAGCTTTTTGATCCAAGAACAGAAAGAGGAGTGCAACATCACACACAATACACCCGACTGCACCAGATCACAAACCCATTGAAAGTTTTTGAAGCCTTCAAAAAAAGATCAAATATTCCACAGCACAAAACAGAAAAGAAAAAGAAAAAGAAAAAGAAAAAAGAAAAGGGAAAGGGCAAAGCCCCAATCTTTAATTCCAAATTTTGGGAGGAAAAAAAAAGTTACCATCTTTTTCATGTTAAATCGTTCCCTTTATAGAATCAAACAAAGATAATGGCAATGATAATATATACAAAAATTATGAAAGGCGTAGTACCTGGAGGTGGAAGCGGAGTGGCGGTTGGCGCCGTCAAGAACGCTTTCTTTCTTTCTTCACCTCTAAAACCTCTTTGTTATGTGAATGAATCAATGAATTATGAATGGATGGTTTTGTACTGCTCGTATGATTTTAGGGGGGAATTTGTAATTACAGTCATAAGCAATTTGATTATTCTAATTCTCACATCAGCTGAAGGCCCAAACGCGTGAAAATGCTTGCTTTCCATTAGGGCTGGGTCCGAAAAACCGAAAATCGAGAACCGAACCGAAACCAATCGAACAATACCAAAAAAAACCGTACCGCAAAAACCGGAATCGAACTCAAAAAACCGAACCGAACCGATTGTATTCGGTTTCGGTTTCGGTTTTAACTATAGAAAACCGAACCGAACCGCTGAAAACCGAAATTTACTTACTTTTAGGAATTCCTCTTTTAATTTACCCATTTAGCTTTTAGGGTTACGCGACTCCTCCATCGCAGATTTGTAGAGACGCCAATTTTCGGGCTCTTCATTCTTGAATCTTCAACTTCAACATCTCCAATCTTCTATTCTTCTTCGCTGCGCTCTAGGATCGAAGTATCCAACTCGCCAGTTTGCTCACTTCGCTGTGCTGATTGTGCTCCAACATCGGTCCGACTTGCCACTTCGCCAAATCGCCAGTTTCTTCTTCAATCGCAGGTACGAATTGAAGATAGAGTTGTTTAATGTTTTTTATCAAGTCATTCTAGCAAATGTTTGAGTAATTTTCCAGCAAAGTAATTTTCCAGCATATGTTATTTAATTTTTTTTCTAGCAAATGCTTGGGTATGAAGCATATGTTCTTTAATTTTTTTAAAATGTTTTGGTAATTTTAGTATTTTACAGCAAATGTTTTGGATATATTTTGGGTATCTTTGAAATACACAGGAAATAGAAAGTATGAAGCGGCATTCTTCAACAATATCAAAACAGTCTAAAGTTCCCAAAACAACTTCTCATTCTCAGGTTATATTTCATTTATCTTTCATTTACCTTAAGAAGTTGATTGCGTTAATATTTTAACATCCTATAATCCATATTTTAATAACTTAATCTACCATATTTTTTGGTCTTGCAGAAAGAGATTGAATCATTGGATACTATTAATGATGTGCCATCTTTTCAATCATCTGAGACGATTGAAAGCAATGTACAATGTAACGAGGCAAGTGAAAATTCAAATGACATAATCGACTTGTGCGGGATGACAGAAGAAGAGTACTTGGCAGCTTTGAAAGCCAACGAAAGGGCCGATATTTGGGTGCATTTTAGCAGAAAGTTTGTGTCTGGTAAGATTAAAGCGTTTTGTCATTATTGCAAGCATAAAGGTTTTGCTGCTCACCCCAAACTAAATGGTACCACTGCTTTGAAAAATCACATGGATAAATGTAGAGAGTACCCACCTAATAAAGAGTTATGGAGTCAAAGGCAAAAAATTTTAACTTATGACAAAAGTAAAGACTTGGCGGTACGGGGAAGTTCTCAAGATGAAATTACTAAAGCGTGTGTGGAAATGATAATTCTAGATGAGTTACCTTTTAGTTTTGTGGAAGGAGAATGATTTCGTTAGTTTTGTAGAGTTGCATCCCCCCCATTGGAGAGTCCCAAGTCGTAAGACAATTGCCAAAGATGTGCTTAACATGTTTTACATTGAGAAGAGTAAATTAAAAGATGATTTGAGTGGATATAGAGTTTCTCTTACAACAGATACTTGGACCTCCATTCAAAACATCAACTACATGGTTATTACTGCACACTTCATTGATAAGAATTGGACTTTACATAAAAGAATTTTGAACTTTTGTGTGATTCCAAACCATAGTGGAGACTCAATTGCCAGGCTTTTAGAAGAGTGTCTCATTGAATGGGGAATTGAAAAGCTTTTAACGATTACAGTTGACAATGCTTCTTCAAATGATTCTGGTTTAAAAGATCTCATTAAAAGAATAAGCTCTTGGAAAATTAAAGACGCACTTTTGCATGGTGGTAAGAATTTGCATATGAGATGTGTGGCACATATTTTGAATCTGGTTGTGAATGATGGGTTGGGGATATTGAATAAGTCAATTCAAAGCATTCGTAATGCCGTTAGATATGTAAGATCATCGCCTCAAAGGTTAGATATGTTTAAAGTTTGTGTGGAGAAAGTGAAAGTTGAAAGCAAGGGGCTTGTGATAATGGATGTTCCAACTAGGTGGAACTCTACATTTTTAATGTTACAATCTTCTGTGAAGTTTCGTAAAGCTTTTGACAGATTGAAAGAAGACGATGGTCACTACCCGGGATGTTTTAAAACTGACAAATCCAACAAAGAAGACAAAGGAAGGGAGGGGCCACCTTCTTGTGATGATTGGGAAAAAGCTGAGGTATTTGCTCATTATTTAAGACCTTTTTATGAAGTTACTTTAAAGGTTTGTTGTTCAAACACTCCAACAGTTTCAAATCTTTTTGGGGATTTAGTAAAAATTGGAGGTGTCATGAAAGAACCTGGAAGTACACTTCTATCTTCTATTGCGATACCTATGCAAGCTAAATATGATAAGTATTGGGGGGATCTCACTAAGGTGAATGATTATGTATTGCTTGGAATGGTTCTTGACCCGCGATATAAATTTGAGAAACTTGGGGATTATTTGGAGTTAATTTATGGGGAGTCAGATAAAAGGGTTGAAGACACCATTACGGAGGTGAAGACGTTTTTGCTTTCTCTACTTAACTTGTATGCATCAGATGGATGTTCACCTTCTCAAATGACTCAAACAACCACTACTAATGGTTCTCATAAGTTTCCAGTTTCACTCGAAGCAAATTCTGTTTTACCAATGACACAAGTTGAGAGGAAATTGGCAGAAAAGGAGCAAAAGCGCAGAGCGGACAAAGCTGGTATTGTAAGCAACGACGTGGATAGGTATAGTGCAGATGCAATTGAAGGGGATGATAATTCAAGTTTTGATATTTTGAATTGGTGGAGAGTGAATGGGGCCTCTAAGTACCCAATTTTGGCTTGCATTGCAAGAGAGGTTCTCACGATACCGGTATCCACGATTGCTTCTGAATCGTGTTTTAGTACAAGTGGTTGAGTGATTGATCCATTTCGTAGTTCATTGAGCCCCAAAATGGTTGAGGCCTTGATTTGCACACAAAATTGGCTTAGGAGTACTCATGTTGCTTTACATCACGAGCCTACAATTGAAGAGATGGAATTTTACGAAGAACTTGAGAAAGGTGATTTTATTGTCTTTTAGAATGAATTTCTTTCTTCTACAATTTATTCCTTTATGACTTTATTTTGGCAACAACATTTTCTGTGTTTTTACTTTTTATGTTTAGAAATTTCAAATGAAGGTGGACTTGAAGGGTCTAAATTGCCTCCAAAGGTTACAAGATAAACGAAGAAGGTTGGGTCTATTAGTTATGACAACACTATTGTTTTAGTATCGTGTTAATTTTTTACTAGTACATCCTAGCTAATTGGAATACATATAAATTTTAATTTTGCAGGTTTAATTTGGGAGATTCATTCTTGCATCTCAAAGATGTGCCTGCCATTTTAATTTGAGGATATAAGTGATGCCTCCTACTTTAAAAAAATATTACATGACTTGTTGATAACTAGAACCTTTTTTGTGAACCATTATGATGTTTTTGACTTGTTGTTATGCATTGTGAATCTCTATGCAGTTTTTGGGTTGATACTTGCAGTTTTTGGACAAATATTTGCAGTTTTTTGAATGGCACATTTTTTGATTGATCCGTGCAGTTTGGGACTGGAAATCACTGCTTTTATCCCAGTTTTATATAGCATTTTTACAGTTTTCGATTGGGGACTGGAAATTACTGCTATTCTCCCAGTTTTTTACTGCATTTTTACAGTTTTTGGGTTGATACATGCAGTTTTTGGACACCTAATTGCAGTTTTTTTGAATGACAGCTTTTTTGATTGGTCACCCACAAGATTGGATGTCAATTGCCTAATCCATAGCATCACAGATCAAATATATGTCTTCATTCACATAAAGGCTTGAAGTCCAGAACCACCCACAAAATTTTATAAAATTATATGATTAGATCCCTCATCATAAATGCATGGATTGGTGATAGTCATTAGTATTAGTAGTACCACCAACATATTATTTCACTTTTAAATTATTTTTTAAAAAAACCGAAAGAATCGAAAAAAACCGAAATTCAAACCGCTAAAAACCGAACCGTATGATGATTGGTTTTCTTTTTTTTTATTACAAAACCGAACCGAACCAAACCACCAATATGCCTTCCGTTCCGTCTTTGGTTTTAGGTAAAAACCGAACCGTTAAACCCGAACCCACCCCTACTTTCCATCTTAAGATTCTTCACCTTTTTTACTTTAATTTTTTGGATGCAGCTTGGTCTATACTTTCTTGTTTCTTCTATTCTATAAAAAATTCTCTAGAACAAAATTTTCTGCTTTAGAGAAATAAATACTTATTCTCTAAAGATATTTCTCTAAAATATAATTTCTCCAATTTTAGAAAAATAAATATTAAAATGTAAAAAAAAGACTTTATTGTCCACAAATTTTCATCTTATTTTTTATGACAAAAATTTTCTCATTTTAATTTTTGATGAACGAAATGAGTAAAAATTATTTTTTTTTTCTTTCATTTTCAAATTTCCTGAACCAAAACATAATTATGTTTCTCTGTACTTATAAGTTGGTCAAAACTTTTTATAATCAGTTTTTAACTAATTAGTGAGCTGATGACATGTTAATAAGTTAATAAGTATGTCTTACCCACTTAATTTTAAGCTAGTTTTTTATATTTTGTTTTGACCATATATTATTTACAAAACTATCCCATCACCATTTATAAATATTTCCAAACAATGAATCTATCATTTAAGTCATTTCACTTCTCTGAAAGAATATTTGACTTATAAGCAGTTTATAAATTAAAAAATTTCTCATGAGCAATAAGTCAATAAGCATAAAGAAACATAATGTAAAGTTCATTGTTTCATTTTCAATGGCTAATTATCCAATTATTCATAATCATGTATATTATTTATTTTATTTAATAAGAAGAACGGAGTCTTACTTATATAATACGGAGTAGTAAATATTAATGTTCTGAAAAATAGACCGAACGTCGAACTCGAAAAGCAAGTTGGTCAAGAATTAATTGATTGAACTCGGTCGAGTTGATACATGTTTTTCACTAGCAAGTGGGTCAGTAATACTATGTAAGATTTGAGATTTAGGCTGCATTGCATTTGTCTGATTTTTTTTTTTGAATACTTGGTCTCATCTGAAATGATTGTAGTTATATTTAAAGTTATTTCAGATCTGGTTTAATTTGATTTGATTTTAATCAAAATAAGTAATAAGTTGAACAAAACGTAACCTTACATTTACTCCCTTCGTCTCACAATAATTACCACTCTCTAATAGATACTAGGGGTGGGCAAGAATTCCGAAACCATTATCCCGATCCGAAATATTTTCGTCCCGTCCATGTAATATTCCATTTTCTTAGGGATGATAGAGTTTTGTCCCAAATCCGTTTTGAACCGTTTTAAAATATGGCAAAACAGGAACACATAAATATTTTCTCATTTCGTCTCGTTGTCCCGTTTATATATATATCAGTATATATCTAAAAAACAAATAAATGTATATATCTATTTATTTATATAATTATATACCACAAAATATCATAATTTTTGTTTTTCTAAAAATAGATATAAAAAATATCCATATTCAAATATTTAAAGAAATGAACTATGAATGGAATACCTAAAACCCAAACTGTTCTAACCTGATCCGGGCTAATTTTTGGCTCACTGTTTTTTATGAAGCTTATAGTCTTGACTTTTGACGTATGTTGTTACGTCTTTTCATGTATCTTTAATGTTTTGGCCTTTCAAAAATATTTTAAATAAATATATATATCATTTTTTCATTACTTTGTAAGTCAAAATGGGTTGCCTCAATGCCTCCGCCGCCTTATGTATTTTATATTTTTATATGTAGTTTCGGATAATGACAAAGTATGACAACCCGAACTTGTTCCGTTTTATCCCAATAATGAATATAAGCGACAAAGAGGAATAAGCTTGTGGCCCGAACTATTCTGAATCATTTGAAAAAACGGGACAAAACACGTGACGGTATAAATCCGAACCATCCCGCCCCGTTCCCACCCAAATGTATACTACTCCCCAAACAACGTGCATTATCTCATTACCTTTTAGATTATTTTAATTACAAATTGGTATAGAAATAAAAAATATGTGTAGGACCTTGTAGTCCAATTGCACCGTTATGTCTCCCCCAAATGAGAGGTCGAGTGTTTTGTTTACAGTAAAAAAATAAATAACATAACATCATTTAATTAAAATTACATAATAAATTTTACAAAATAAGAGATACTCCGTATTTTATTTTATCACATGATGAAAAGAAACATGTGTACGGACAGTTTATCAAGAGCCTTTAATAATGACAAGGCATCCATTTTAAAATGCAGGGGTATTTGATTGAAATAAAATAAAAAACAGGAGAAAAACAATATAAGCTAAATTGTAGAACATGAAATTATAACTAATAAAATAAATTAGTTATATTAATTTTAGATAAAAAATAACTAATGCTCATTTTTTGTGAATGTATAAAAAGAATATATGGGTCAAGTATAATATTTTTCGATAATCGGTAATCGGGTAATAATTATTTTTCCAAAATAATAATCTAGATGTTATGAAATTATAAAATAAATTATTATTCTACAAGATGAAACTAATTTATTTACTCCATAGCTCACTACAATTTTGATAAGATACTATCATTATTTTTTAAAAAACTGAGACTATAAAGTTGTGTTTTTTTCAATAATTCACTATAAATATTTTTTTGCAAAACAACATTACAAAAACTATAAAAAATAAAAATGGCACATTTTTTTCTCCGTCATGAAACTATTATTTTTAAAATCCACTAAATTTAGTTTGTATGCAAATTTTTCATCAACAATATTCTAAATTATTTATCGATAATCAACTATGACTCATATCATTTTTTCCAACATGACACTATGAAACTTGTGATTTTTTTTTGACAATTTAGTAAATTTTTTCCAAAAATGATAATTCAAAAGTTGGGGAAACGACAATAATTTTTTATTCAAATGGCACTATTTACTTTTAAAACCCAATATAATTCTTTTGTATTGCAATTTTTTTCTTGAGCGATACATCGGTTTATATTTCCTCCAAAAGGAAATAAAAATATTTGAATTATTATATTTAAAAAAGACGATAGAGATATCTAACAAGAGTGTATTGTTATGTTTTCAAAAATATATTTTTTAAATTTAAAATTAAAAAGATAAAAATAGCATTCACCAAAATATATATCCTCTAAATTATTCTTTAAGTGTTTGTTAGCTTTCTAACGGCAACACAAAACTCGCATCCATCTATTTTTTTCAATCAATTCCAATTCATTCCCAACTAATGAGAAAAGATCAAAGTAGAAGTAAAAACATTGAAAATATACCAAACAAGAGTTTCTGAAGAATAAGTATTTTCATTGAATAAATTGTGAGGAGAGTACATGTATATATACACAAGTCTCAATCCTAATTAAGGTAGGAGAGACACAATAGGAAACCTATACAAATATGGTAACAATAATAATACAATAATATTAAATATAATATATATATATTTAACATGCTCCCGGCTACGTCGGCAGTGCTGGGGGTCGGATACCCAGGCTTTCTCTGAAGTCAAGAAATAATTGTGAGGGCAGTCCCTTCGTGAAGATATCAGCAAACTGAGAAGAGGACGGAACATGCAGGACTCTGATCTGACCGAGCGCCACCTTATCACGCACAAAGTGTATGTCAACCTCAACGTGATTGGTGCGCTGATGCTGCACCGGGTTTGACGAAAGGTAGACCGCACTGACATTATCACAAAAGACAAGTGTGGCGCGACGGAGTGGCTGCTGGAGCTCAAGGAGGAGGTTTCGGATCCAGCTGGTTTCTGCAACAGCATTCGCTACAGCCCGGTATTCGGCCTCGGCACTGGAGCGAGAAGTAGTGGCCTGGCGCTTAGACGACCATGAGACAAGGTTGTCGCCGAGGAAAACGCAGTAGCCTGAAGTGGAACGTCTGGTGTCAGGACAGCCAGCCCAATCGGCGTCTGAATAAGCCTGTAGGTAGTCGGTGGCGGATCGTGTCAAGTGAATGCCATGAGTGGCGGTGCCACTGAGATACCGGAGAACACGTTTCATGGCTGTAAAGTGAGCGTCGTGGGGGGCATGGAGGTGGAGGCAGAGCTGCTGGACTGCATATGTGATATCAGGACGAGTGAATGTGAGGTACTGCAGCGCGCCAACAATGGATCGGTAAAGTGAGGGGTCGGAGAGCGCCGTACCAGCTGACGCAGATAGCTTTG